CGATCTTTTCAAGATTCCTGAGGTACTATTGTTCACGAGAAATAGGGTTTAGAACTAACACCTAGTAGTATTTTTAGATGCATTTCGAAGAATCATGTTTTCAGAAGTTAGACTTTATATATGAAACGTTTATTCTCAAGCCATTGCATATAGAATTTAAATCTAAACAAAATGGTGTGAGTATTAAGTTGAACAATGGAAACTTTTTGGTTGTTTCGAATTGAAAGAGAACAATGGGACATAGGTTTATTAGAAAAAGAATTTTTTTCGACGTTTTTACTTACAACTATTTCTACATTTTTCTCGCAACTATTTCTACTTCTAAAATTTTAAAACATACATCAAAGATACAGAATTTTATGCAGAACTTTACGGTATATTTCAAATTTCAGCAGAGTTAGTATTAAAAGTTTTTCATCATTTTTTTTGTTTTGATCGTCGCAGTTGGACGATTGAGTAGGTGTCCCTCTTTTACATTTTGCGTCGACAAGAGAAATTTATTTGAAAAATAAAGTGGACAGTTTTGTAGAACAAATGAATTGTCCATTGAATGAGCTCAAAATGAAGTTTTGAAAATGATTTTAGGACTTCAAACATAGAAAGCAAAAGTGGTCGATGTAATCTGGCCCATTTTACAAAAATGTTTTTCAATTATTAAATATACTTAGTTTTATAAGAAACGTAAAAAAGTCAAAGAGTGTCAATAATCTGACCCCATCCGTTATATTGCATGTTAGAAAAACAAAGTTTACTCACATTTTTCTCGTTTATTTAGTTTTTTTTTTCTTGATCAGATATAAATATACTGCAATTTGATAGAGCACATTTATGGCCATGAAAAATAATATCCAACATTTTCGTCTGAAAGTACACTTAACTATAAAAGTTTAAAAAAGTTTTCTAGCAAAAAGTTGATTATTTTTGTCGGTAGTTGTAAAAAAACAGTGAAAGAGCATATTCGATTAAGAATCTAAAGCTCTGCTAATTCTGATTTACAATAAACACAATGTTTTAGAATATAACTAATGAGAAAAGGTCCCCAAGTGTGCAATCGCTTTTTGCTTGAAATCCAGTGGACAATAGGTAATCGACTGCACTAAATCCAAATCTGACATCGGTTTGCGCTGCTAGTCCTCCACAGACCGGGTTTCTGGGAAACCAGGTTTTCAGAAACTCTAAAAAAAGCCCAAACCTTTTTTAATGAGACATGCTTGTAGACCGCAAATTTCTGATTAAAATGAGATATATCCCAGCTCTACACGACCTTTCTTTGCAAAGTTATAGAATTTATACGAAAAGTCTAAATTAATATTTTCCTTCTTATTTCTGTAGCTTTGAACTGATAATGAACATTTAGGGCTTTTCTTGTAAATTGTATAACTTTGCAAAGAAAGGTCGTGTAGTGCTGGGATATATCTCATTTTAATCAGAAATTTGCTGTCTACAATCATGTCTCATTAAGAAAGGTTTTGGTTAGTTTTTAGAGTTTCTGAAAACCTGGTTTTCCAGAAAACCGGTTTCTGGAGGCCCAGCAGCACAAAACGATGTTCGATTCGGATTTACCGCAGTTGATTACCTATTGTCCACTCGATTTCAAGCAAAAAGCGATTGTACACTTGGGGATCTTTCCTCGTAAGTTTGGTAGTAATTGTAAAAAATGGTTTGAACAGATGGTGTGGAGCGAACAAATTTACGAAATCATATTTACAGTTGTGTATCGAATGCTAACGAAAGTTATTGTTTCATTGATTTTTTTTTTCGTTATACATAAATGAAAACTCACGATCAACGGTTTAAAATACCCCATAGCGATTTTAGTATATATGTATCAAGTTTTAGATGAAAAAAACATGAAAATTTGATTGTTTTTTGATAAAAGTCTGAAAATAGTTGGCATTCTTAACAACGGAAATCATTATTCGCTGACTTAGATTTTCTTTTTATTTTACTTATGGTCTGGAACTAGTTTAATCTGTGAACCATTCAAACCAATGCAAAATGTCATTGTCTTTATAAAATAGAAAAAAAAAGAGAATCACTGTGACACGTTTATCATTTAAAATTCGAGAAAATAAAGCTTACAGTTGGATGTAATCAAAAAAGAAAAGAGAAAAAGAAAATATTTAGTCAGTCAATAATTTTTACTAGTGGTGAATCAATAATTTTGTCATAGTCAAATATATCGTTAAATTTAAATTTTAATAAAATTGTGAGAAGTGCAATTTTTTATACTGTATATCCGATGATGTTATTTAGGGTTAAATTTTGAATAATATGCAGTATGTTTATTAAATACTTTTTTTTCCGCCATGTAGCCAAAAATATGACTCGATCAAATGGTCTACTTTTCATGCGTTTGTCTAAGCAAGATAAATTTAAATAAACAAGAAAATGAGATAGATTAATTATTTATTTAGTCTTAAAATATGAAACATGATCAAAGTTAATTAAAGAGTCATCATATTACAAAAAACGAAGAATACCCTGTAATTGTCTCTATTCAATGATGAAACATGTAGTCTTGTTATATATCTTATTATCAACTTTATGAGTTTATATAAAATTTTTCTCATTGTACTGATAATTTTTCGACCTATTTTATTAAGTGTATTGTATAAAGATCAGAAAACAATTGTTTCTATCTCCGACAGGTAAAATGATGGCAATATTATAATATTTTTTGTAAAAATTTGACAAAAAATTTACATATAATAGAGATAGGAAATGCGTAGCCTATTGATAAGATTATGTTTACTCAAATTAATATAATATGTAATGTAAGCGTTTTATTAAGAATCTGATTCATTCTTTATAAGATTTATAGAAATAATTCTTTTATAAGTAAATTTATCGAAGACTAAGATTTTCTCATCTTCTAAATATATTTTTGTAGTATTGTATAAAAATGTTTAAACAAAGAAAAGAAAATGTTAAATGAGAAAATTATTTATTCCTGTTCATTGGGAGAACACAACAAAAATCAAACAATTTTGATTTTTAAACAGTGCAATCGATAGTTCGAACCGAGGTCTACAATTCTAGACCAGTCTTAACTCCCTATTCCTTATGATTCAGGAGTTATAAGCATTTTACCAAGAACCCTGATTTCGGCCAGTTGACCTTGGGTGATCCTAAGATGGGTCAAGATAGGGGTAATGGGTCACACTGAGTCGAGTGGTGATGTTTATTTTTAGTTTCAAACTGACCTAAAGTCACTATTTCGAAATAACCGCTCTGTACGCAACATAGCGGTAGAATATTTTAATTTGAAAATCTTGATTTAGTGACCTTAGATCGGTTTGAAACTAAAATATTCTACGTAGTGCATACGAAAAGTAATGAGATTTGCAGATAAAACTCCACAGACTAGAAGTAATTAAGTTTCCACTTTAGCAAATATTTGAACTGGTAGACATGATTACCCATGTACAATAAATTTGTTTCAAAACATTTGCTGAAAGTTTTTTTCGAATCATCTTTGATTAAAAACTTTTTAAGTATTTTGGTTACAGCACTGCATACAACGATTAAGAACTATTTTGACCGGTTAATTTTCTTGGACATGACCGACTAAAGAAATATAGCGAATATATAAAGTGGTAGTAGGTCTTAAGTTCTAGATTTGACACACATAAACCGACTTCAGTTCTTGGAATTAGAAGAATTGTAAGAGAAGAATCTCTACCGATTACAGTTTGATGCAACAAGTTAGCCTCACAACAATGTTTCATGTCTTTTCTCAAACTAACTAGTCAAATACTCTTAAAAAATAGACAGATATGGAAAGAGAGTAAATTTCTAATCACCAATATTATATCAAAAATTCCCTAAAACTACTTATCCAGAGTAGAGAGTGAAACAGCAAAGATCATCAAATAGTGTTTCGAACATCAAAAGTCATTATGACAACGTTCAACTGTATATTCACAAAGCTATTTTTTAGTATCTCGCATCAAAACGTCTCTAAATATTTTATTATCACCGTATTCTATGGGTCCAATACTATGCGGTTTTCAAGTGTTCTATCTAAAGATTAATTGTTTGATTTATTCACATGTTTAATAAAATCAAACGACCTTTAATCACTGCATTGAGTGCTGTAACAAAATTGATGGATTTTTCAATCAAAGATGATTTGAAAAAAATTTTCAGCAAATGTTTTGAAACAAAGGACGGGGGTTCATAAAAGCCAAGAATCGGTTCCCTCTCAGATCAAGTTCACATTCACAGGTCTGATGTAGTTTTTCTCCATTATTAAAACCAGCATCTCAAAAATAACCATTTTCATCCCCCCCCCTGGATAAAATTTCCCATCCAGACTTTTCCCCCCTTAGGTGAACTTTATTTAGAGTATTTTCCTCATTTCTTCTCTTTGCTCAAAGCAAATCTCAACTACTGTATACCACTCGATAGAGAATTTCACGGGCTAAAAAATGATATATATAATATTGAGATCAAATTGGGTCTGAGTGTTCTAACAGTAGAAATACTAGTCCCGATTTCCACAAATCCATGAGGCAACAGCGTTTTTGAGATTTGACTTTCATTTGTTTTTGAGTCCAGATTTGTGATCAATCACCGTGAAAAACTGCGTCTAATGATGTATTTTAAAGCTTTGCTCAAGTTAAAAGAAAAATTCGAATCTTTTCATCCGAAAGTGGACTGTTAACTGGCCACGCCGCTTTCTGTATTTTAGAATTAACTACGACATATATATAGTAAATTTTTTATAAAAATTGAATTTCTATAACAGCAGCTACTAATGTTTTAATAATTTTATCCGATCATCGAATTAATTCATATCATCTTTAAAGAGAGTATAAAATTGATTATAAAATTTCATTTCATTTTTAAACTAACTTTAATTTTAACTTTAAATTTGACTATTATAGATATTCTATATATTATGGCGTCATAAATTAATCATTTGTCTTCTTATGGTTGCATCAATGATTCTAGTCATAAATTTTAATTACCACTATTTACATTCAAGATTCAAAATGAGTTCGACGTCATTATATAGACAAGTACCATTATATATTCAACAGTATTCATCATCTAAATTATCAAATATAAACTCTTTTCTGAAAACAACCCTATGCGGTCGAATAATAGCAAACTCTTCTATAGTCAAAATATTTGAATTAAATAATATTAATAGAAAACTTCAACAAAAATGTCATAATGCATGTAAAATTTCCTATAATGATATGTCATGTGTAGTATTGATTGAATCACAAGGATTTTATTCAAAAAAAGTTACAAATATTGAACTAAAATATCCTCAAGCATTTACAATTCTTTTACATAAAAATCTCTGGCAATTTCAAGTACTATTTCGAATGTTATATTCTCGACAAAATTATCATTGTATTCATTTGAATTTGAAAGCATCCGATTGTCTTATCCAATATGCAAAAAAATTAGCACAATGTGTCGATAATGTTTATCTATCACCAAGACAATTTAATGTGACGTCAAATAAAAAATTTTCCATTTTACAAGCAGAACTTACCTGTCAAATTCATCTATTAAAACAATCTGAAAAATGGAAATATTACATGATATTAACTGGTCAAGATTTACCTATTCAAACAAATTATGCTCGATTACAAATACTGGAATTATTAAACGGTTCTAATTCTGTTCAATCGATTGACGATCATCAGAAAGAAATGATGGTGATAGAAGAAAATTATGTAAAAAAGGTGTCTTTATATAGAGGATCACTTCATGCAGTATTATCACGATCGTTTTTAGAATCTCTTCATAAAAGTAAAACAGCATACGATATACTCAAATATTTGAGAGACACTGATTTATCACATGAATATTTTTATGCCGCCTTAAATCATCTAAAAGAGTTTCCCGGTATTGGTCAACATACCAAACATATTTTATCACATTTTATTGCTGATGATAAACAGCATCCATTTACCTGGACAGATTTACCGCTTATTGAAAAAAGTGGTCAATTGTTTGCTGGTGAATTTGATCAAGAAATTGATCTAGTGGGAATTGATTGTCTCGAACAATGGTTAAATGTGAAACAATCAAATTTAATTGATGAATCGTTGAATTGAAATTAATCGTAAACATTATAAGAAATATACAAGGAAATCAAAAATGTTATCAAAATGCCTGTATCCGCATAGGAAGAATTAGAAATTCTACAATTGATTATCTAAATTGGACAAAATTATTCAATATATTTAAATTTCGTTATTCCAATTTATTTCGTGTCATTATTCTGTCTCAAAATCGATTGATGGTGAGCAATTTTTTTTTCAGTTTTATTCTGTATACTCTTAAACATTGTGCTCTTCGACTCATTACATCCTTTATCGTTCACAGATGTTCATCGAATTAAGATCAAAGTGAATCAGTTGATTCGAAACTCAGCGAGATAGGTGAGTAAAAAGTGCGAGATAGATACAAATCATTAAATTACCAATGCAACGTATTTTTAGCATGGTATCAGCACCGTGATTGTTAACTGCTGGAATACGAGGAGAACAATACGATCGCCATTGCATTGAACGACATAGTGCATTAATTATCACGGCTCATTTAATCCTTATTTCTGATTTATTCAATTGTACATCCTTCAGGGTGAATAAACAGCGCCCATGGGGAAATTTTAGTATATAAAATGGCGTGTACACCTGTGAATATCGTGAAATGAACTGTGATCGCACGTGAACATTGTAAAAATGGTGTGTGGATACACGTGAAAAATATATTCCACTTGTGATAACGCGTGAACTTTTCGGGTCATATTTTTGCCACATGGTCACTAGTAAAACTCGTAAAATGATGTGCGAACACGTGTGAAAAGAAATTCTCGCTTGTGCATGTGTATGAAATTATAGGAAATTCACACGTAATCACGCATCTGATGTTGCAACTACACGATCTCAACGTCGTCAAACTTCGACAAAATGTCCTCATGGTTGGTGCACAGTATACTGTTCTATTCAATATCGGTTATCTATCTAAACTTATAGCAGATCCACGGACTAATAGACAACAATAGTTAGGATTTTTGCATACAATTCACTAATCTTTTCAATAAGTCGGTTTAAGCTTTAATCTTGAACCAGAACGAAATCGAGAATATAAATTTCCATTATATCATTCTGAAACTTAAACTATCAAAACACAAAATCAATCCTTGCACGAAGCTAGGATCGAACACACGAACTTGATCTTTGCAGACGAACTGCAAAAATCAACAAATTGTATGATGTGTCTCAAGGTTTTATGTATATAATGCTAAGTTAATCTGCTTACTGTGGTCGACTTACTGTCAAAACTGTCTTCTTTTAGAATTAATAATTTCTTTTTTTTTCCATTTTTTCATCTATATGTTGATCTGTCAACATCAGTTATTAACACGATCGAGGCTAAGAAGGTAGAGTTCGATGTTCTCGAAAGTCTTCTTGTGATGCAAAAATAACATAACAAGATAGACAATACGAGACTGTAAGTGTACCAGAATGAAATTCTGCTAAGAAATTTTGAAAAAGTTTGTTTTTCTATAAAAAATTGTTAGAGAGATGCACAATCTAGAATTGCAAAATAAACTTTTTTTGAATAAAATGAGATATCTCTTGGCTTTGTATGATCTTCATTTTACAGTTGATAGCACGAAAATTTCAAACGTTCATTTACAAAGTAGTGTGCATAATCTGACAACATCGTATTTAAAAAATTTTGATTAGTCTACAAAAAGACATGAACCTGACGATGACTCGACATTAACAACTACTACACATTTTTCTTAGAAGAAAAATAGCACTTCGTTTATTGATAAATCGATATTAATAACTGAAAATATTCTTTCTGATCAAGTTCAACCACATACAGGTATAGAATAGTTTTCTTATATATTGAAAAGTATGCTAAAATTTTCACCTCGACTGTCGCTGTCAGTTTCAGCTGTTGATGCAGTAAATATGGTAAATATGACTCCTATGCGTGTTACGGATTTTGTTTTTTTCAAACACATCAGTACAACTTGTAAAGTTCCAAAATGACAGTTCATTCCTTCCATATTGTAGACAATATCGTTATGAAAAGCCCATTCTGTTTAACGATATCATACTTATTAAATCTGAGTTCCCAACTATTACAAATCTTCTTCAATGATTTTCTTAAACCTTCAGGACTAACTCTTACCACTGTGTTTGCTTTGAGAAAAGCGGTGAAAGAGAGACACAGTTTGATATCTACAGATCAACTGTGTCGAAAGTGCAGCAGAATGGACGTAACGGCATAAACTTAGACATTCATTGGGTTTTGTTTCGGGCTCAAAATGACTCTCAGAGAAGCAAAAATGCATGATCATTTGGATACTTTTAGCCCTCTATTTTCTATGAACTTAGCTCAAATTTCCGTTCGCATCGTATTCCGAATATTTCGATCCGGTAATGTAGAATGAAATCGTTTTCAAGAGCATATTCTACAAAAAACAAACTTTTCTATCGATTTGAACCGTTTTCAAGTGCTGAACATGTTTCTTTGTATTGAGAGTGTAACTGGGTATGAGAAATTCGCGAGCAGGTACACTCTAATTTTCTCTGCAAAAAAGCAACACTTTGTTCAATATTAAACACGATATTCGTGATCAGTACAGCAATTGTATACAGTGCACCGTTTTTTAATGTAAATGTGAGAGAAAGATTTGCTGGAAATCCTATGTACTACAGATAATAAAACCGTATACTGAAACTAAGTAGTGGAATATTATCCATACAACACCCTGATATGCTTTACATTCAAAAACAGTTTTTTAAGGACGATTCTCCAGCTTTTTCACACTCCTCTTTCGGATCTTTACACACCATATGTGTAACTCATAAATCTGACAAAAATGCAACAGAACGCTGATTTTCTTGCTCTCATCGAGGGCATAAAGTTTGAACAGAAGTTGTCTAAAAAGCAACATCGATAAAAATGTTGAAGAAATATTCTCTTTTCCATACCTTTTACTCCTTCATTTTGTCTTTTTTTTCAATTTCTTTAACCTTTGATATCTTTATCTTTCAATATGTTGACAACTTTCTTCTTCTATAACCTTTCAACTTCTGTCATTTTAAGATCCATATAAATTTTATGTTTTTCACGTCTTCTATCCTCTATAAGTTTTTATTAGTGTGTTATAATTATTTTTATGACTGTTAAGGCCTATACAACTACTAACATTGTAGACAGCACTACCACCGATAAAAAAGGTGAATATACGATCATATTAGCCCCCAAAAGCTCTATAAGTTAAAGCAATTATAAAAGTCAAAAGCCATGAAGATAATTAAAGGTTTGAGGTCATAAAAGTCGAAATGTTATATGCATCATGCACAGCTACAAAGCTAAAATATACAAATATTCTACTAACCGTAAAAGCTATTAAAACCATCAATTGTCTTTTCATAGCTGGCACACATCCTTTTTATTAAACAGTTGTGATTTTAGGCAAACTACGTTTAAACTTCATGCACTTATTTTTGTTTTTTATAAAAATCCATTTTTATGTCTCAATCGAAGACTTATCCTTCATATCCAAAAGTTGGATATATTAGCCATATCCATTTTCCTTCAATTATTGTAAATATTCTTTGTAGAACGTAGTTATACCGTATCTTTAAACGTATCTGTAATGCATCATAAAAGTATAATATTTTCTTGTCTAAAAAATCATCACAGAAACATATTCAGAAAAAATTTTTTTACATATTTTGTTTAAATAAAAAAATATGAAAAAAAGAATGTATAATTTTTGCTTGATTAACTAGTTGAATATATATATGCTTACCTTTTACTAAGTCCATAAACCACCAGACTAAAACCAACTATTGAAGCTACGGTTCGAACTAAATGCATTTGCTTATAGCGTTCTAACAATGTTTTTTTTATTAATGCTGGTTGTTCAAACAGAACATAATCACCCTGAGGTGTATTCGCTTCAGTAGATAACATCTTGCGAATTGTTGGACCCATAAACAGATAAGTGTAAGGAAGAATACCAATAAATATACAACCTATAACGAGAGTAAAAGAAATTAGACAATACATTCAACAGATGAAACGAAAGGGTGAAAAATAAAATATGGTAAAACAATAAAAATAAAGTATGTTTTTTCGTTACTACTAGACCTGCAGAAGTTCACGTTTCGTTGACTGAACATGAACGCTAAAGCATTGGTGAACATGAGCTTCTTTTTATACGAGCGGTGTTCATATCGTCTGAAGTAAATATAAATTTCTGTTCTTGTACTGTAGTAAGAACATATATATTTATGCTTGGTCTTATCTGATCAAAAGAAACTCTAGTGAAGGATCAGATGGTCTGCTGAGGGCAGTGACCAGATTATTAAAATGTAAAAAGGATAATTCTTGATTCTCTGATCAAGACATTGATTCTTCCAAGAACAGATCGCGGATTTTCTGACCAGAAGACTAGTTTTTTTGGCAAGGAACCGAAGTTCCTTGGTCCAAACCATTACAGTAACTACATACGTTTTCCTTTGTTATCCTAACCCGTCTGAGACAAACGAGCGTTGATTTTTCATTAGATATAACTGGTAATGGAGAAAGCTGTTTCACTTGGTATACTACTAGGTGAAATTGTTATATAATGTTTTGCAATACTCTTCATTCCACACAAGATCAACATCGTTCATATAAAATAAAGTTAACGTTCACCAGAACATTGGCGTTCACGTTCAAAAAACGTCATGTTTAGCGTTCACATTCAAAGAGAACGCTAAACTTTTGCCTATTAACTATCTGGTAAAAAAATCTTCAATTTTATCTCTTGTACATAAATCAAGCGTCAGTAAGTTTCAAAGCATCAATGTAAACGTAACGATTATTCTAACGAGCGGACCATGCGAACTGTCACATCGCTTTGCCAGCCAAACCTAGTTGGCTATAGGTTATCAACTATGCTGAACCCGAATATCATAGTGGTAGGTACCCAGGGGCCTTCAGAGAGCGATTTTTATGGAAAATCAGTTTTTCGGAAACTCTAAAAACTAACCAAAACTTTTCTTAATGAGACATGATTGTAGCCCGCACAGTTCTGATTAAAATGAGACATCTTCCAGCTCTACATGCTTTTTCTTTGCAAAGTTACACAATTTACAAAAGCCCTAAATTAATTTCTTCTTATTTCTGCAGCTTTGAGCTGACAATGAACATTTAGGGTTTTTCTTGTAAATTGTATAACTTTGCAAAGAAAGGTCATGTAGAGCTGGGAGACGTCTCATTTTAATCAGAAATTTACGCACTACAATTATATCTCATTAAGAAAAGTTTTGCTTACTTTTTAGAGTTTCTGAGAAACTGGTTTTCCAGAAAAAACGCTTCCTGAAGGATCCTGAATGGCTACCACTATGATATCGGGTTCAGCATAGTTGATAACCTATAACCAACTAGGTTTAGCTGAAAAAGCGATGTGACAGTTCGCGAGGTCCTCTCATAAGTGATATACTAAGGGAGCAGGGTCAGAAATTTAAGTGCTTACCTGCTGTTAACCACAATTGTTTATTTGCTTTCTGACAATAGTATGATTCTCCCAAAGCAGCAATACCAGCTGGTAATGTTGTTAGAACTTGTTGAAGTAAATTTTGATTAAACATTCCTTGAAAATATGACCAATGTTGATCGGTGGAAAATTTTTCTAATGATGGCCATTCGACTTGTGATTGATACAAAGAAGAACCAGAATACAAACCAGCCGGAATTGTAGCAATTATATCTAAGTTATTTGTAATAAGTTCCATTTTGAATGGAATGGAAAATCAATTATCTAAGCATAGAGGAAAAAATGATGGTAGCAATATGAAAAGAATTTTAAGAGTTAATTTCATCTGTCTCCTTTTCATTTTACTTGATCTAAAGTCTCGTATTTCTGTACGATATAAGTGTATTGTTGCTTCGAGCAAAAAAAAACAGCAGTCCTGTTGCTAAGTTCTTTCAACGGTGTCTGTCAGAAAAACTGACTTTTCTAAAAAAAGTCAGACTGCAACGACTACTGATGCCTTTTCCTAGCAAATATTTATTTCCTTCATATAAGGAGATGAAAAAGCACTAATGTCCAGAGCTGGGCAAATTACAAGTTAAGTCGAGATAAAAAAAATGTTTTTCTCAAGTTAAGTCTAGTTAAAAATTAGGCAGAACACAATATTTACTAGCGCCTTTTGGATGAGAGACAGTTTTTATGGTTCCAGAAACTCTGTTTCATGGTAAAAATGCCTAATTTAAACGAAAATCTCTTACTAGAAATGACTTCACAATTTTTTCAAGTCCAGTCACGGTCACAAAAAAATCCCTCCAATTAAGTCAAGTTACATCGCAAAAATGTTTCGACCAAGTCCAAGTCAAGTCTGACTTGATTTGCCCAGTTCTGCTAATCTCTATAAATAAATCTATTATTATGACTAATGAATATCATTTCATTCAAATTTCTGATACATGAGTCAGCAGAGTGCCAGTTTTATATTTTCCAAAATTTTGCGAAATTGCGACTTATAGAAGTGTCAATAAGATGCTATTGTCACATTCGGAAGTGTCATTAAGGAGTTAATGCCCCTTTCTGAAAGTGTCAACTAGAAGCTATTGCCACTTCCGGACGTGGCAGCAAGCAGCTATTGCCACTACCAATAGAAAGTGTCGCTAAGGAAATTGTGTTGTTTTCAGAGAATTTTAATTAATTTGAAGAAAATAATACTGATTTGTGGACTCAAGTTTTAGTTTGCCATAATATAAGCAAAAGGAAGATAGGCAGAAACAGTGCAGCTACGCAAATTTAAAAGAAATTTCTTGCCATTCATTCGCTTCTAAGATATGATATGGTGCAGATGCCTGTCATGAGAGACAACATTACAGAATAAGTCGAATTTAAGTAAGAAATAGGCTAAAGAAAGAGAATTATTTCTCTTACTGTTTTCAGGTTACCTTTCTTCCAGAGAAGCAACAAGGTAAACAAATACATCAACAATTTGTCAACAACTTCATCGGATGTTTCTCCATCGTACTCTGCAGGGTGTACATGTTAAGTTAGCAAAACATTTTGATTAGAAACGTTGAGCCCTGCTGCCCAACGTGTTGCCTTTCTTATAATTTTCTGTTGAGTTAAATGACAGAAGCCACACATGTTGTCTAACGGCACATACCAATGCAAGGGTTTTAATGCTGGCCAAATAACTTCATAGTGTAATGCGGCAATAAATCAGAATGACTCATCGCATCAAACAGTTATTGACGTAACTCCAATCAAAAAACACATTTCGGCCTGCTTATCGTGACAATGTAGCTAATGTTATAAAAAGGTTAATCTAAAGTATTTCTCCTGGTTTTATGATTCGCAGGAACAAAATTAAGTTGTCATTTAGCTTCTCAAAGAAGCTTTAGTTCGCATCAAAAGAGGGCGCTACATTTTGAAGATTAAAAAAAGCCATGATCACCAACAATTTTGTGATTGACTTTATTGACTGATGCGAAATCTAGTGAATCACTGGTTTAAATAAACTATACTTTTTCCTTGTTTTAATTGCGTGTTCTTGAGCATTGGGTCTTGTATTGAATATGAACTTAAAAGCCTCTTAATACATCACCTGATGATAATATCTCCACATTCGGACTACATTTTGGAAAAGAAAACGGTCTTCCAACGACAATATTTTAATTTTAATTGAAAATTTGACCTTTTTTTTAATTTAAAATACTTGGAATCAGAAAGGCGCTGGAATATTTTTAATATACTATTTCAAAGAGCGTGAAAACTGAACAAGATTGGACAGTTGAAAACTAAAATAAATTATAAAAACAATGATAGTTCTTGTTAGATTTTTTCGATCAGTAAACCGAACGTTATTTTGAAGAAAAGAAAGGCATAACAGTGGATAAATTGTCGTTCTCAAAATTTGCCGAGATTGTTTCATAATTGTGAGGGCCTTTCATGAGAAACCACAACAGATTTCGGCTCATTCTTAAGTGAGATCACTTTTTATAATTAAAGAAATAAAAACGATCTCAGTTTGGAAATGGCATATTCTATTAATTTTGAAAAGTGATCTCAGTTTGGAAAACGAGCTTGTAGCTCCTATTTTCATAAAATATAGGTTTCTAAACTGTATAGAATAAAAATTGTATATAATACATAGAGTGAAGTGAAAGTCTAAAACATTGTATTGAAATGTCTACGTTAAGCAAAAGTCTTTTTATGTATCATACATTCACTTTAGATCAAGATAGGCAAGTCCGGGTTGAGTCTGAGTCCGGACTGACAGACTTTTTCACACGGACTGGGACTGAACGTATAAGAGGCGTCTTATGTATTCCACATAAGAGACATGGATTTTTTTTTAACAGCTTTTGACATCTTTTTCGCATTTGTGACTCGACTTTTCAGTTTAAATTTGAAAAAGGATAAAAAGAATAAAGAAATTGATTTCATTCTTTTACCTTTTTCGTGTTAGCGCGTGGTCGGTCAAGATCAGCTCTGATCAAAACTCTTGATCAGTTACTAGAGTTACTTACAATCAAAAGACGGCTGTTTTTTTTGCTGTTGTCTGTTTTTGTTGCTATAGCCGTGTAATGAAACAGTTATTCTCTGATAAAACGAAGAAAAAGAATGGAAGTGGAAAACAGTGTATGCTGTGGCCGACATCGGACTGGAACTGGACTGAGACTGGAAAATTTAAGTTTATCGCGGACTGAGACTGGATTGGAAATGAAACATTTTAGCAGCATAGCAGACTGCGACTGACTTGGACTTGGCCTCTGTCCAGTTTTGGATTTTTCATCACTAACATCATTACAAAGCCTCAGTGTTAATCTACACTGAGGTGCAGATGGTGCATTTACCTTACTCGACCGATTTTACGGAAATTCTACAGAAATCTTATAAGAATCTTATATAAGGCAGTTGATGGAAATGCGTAAGATATTGATAAGATTCTTATAAGAAGGAATATAAGAATCTTATAAGATTCTAATAAGAATTCGGTAAGATAGATTATATAATTATTTTATAAGAATTCATAAGATTCTCGTAAGAATGTTATAGAAACGATACAGTACAATTTCATTATATTCTTTAGTGATCGGTACTCTGTATTCTACTGTTTCATACGTAAATAAAATAATTTTCTTTCCATTTATTTAATTTTTCTATAATAAGACCTTAGTCACACGCGGACAGTCTCGTGACTTGTCCTCACTATCTATGCTTGTAGAACGAATTTACTTCCACAAATCTATCATGGCTATAGGAAACTAAAAATATGTGAAATGAGAATGCAGGGCACGACATGTTGTTGGTTTTTATAAATCCCGCTTTTTCAAACCAATCTCTAGAAAAATGCGCTACTTGAGATCCTTTTTATCCTATAAAGATCAATTCGAACTCTCTAAGTCGTAGAAAATAGAGCAGGTCGAATACAACTAATATGCATAAAAACTCTTTTCATATCTCTCTTAATAAAGCACTAGAAGCAATCATAAAAGAACTTCATCTGCTAAGTTAAGATTCTGATAAAAAAGCAGGATGTATTCCAACGAGCAACATGTCGTGCCGTGCATTCTCATCATCATCTTACATTTAAAAAATTTATTTTTCGAACTTCATTTTCATCCTATAATAGAAAGATTGATTCTTTAATAGATAGATTTGTGGAGGTAAATTCATAAATTCGGTCTACAAGCAGTAAACAGTGAGGACATGTCATGAGACTGTCCGCGTGGGGCTAAGGTCTTATTATAGAAAAATTAAATAAATGGAAAGAAAATTAGTTTATTCACCTATGAAACAGTAGAATATAGAGTACTGATCACTAGCGAATGTTATGAAATTGTGCTGTATCCTTCCTATAAGATTCAGAATCTTATAGAAATCTTATCATTTTCTTATATAAGATTCTTATCAATATCTTATATTACGCATTTCCATCGACTGCCTTATATAAAATTCTTATAAAATTTTTATAAGGATCTTACAGATATATCTTATATAAGATTTGATCTCTAGAGTCGAACGTCACCAAGATTATTTTATCAAAGCTACGGTATTCATGCATGGGATGAATTCAGCATGAAGCCAGTTATTTATGCTGTATTACCTAATAAGGAACAGATGTCGTATCAGATACTATTGAATGAACTAACAACTAGTTTAATAATCCATATTTTAATAAAGTAGGAGCTATAAGCTACAAAGTTTTCACTTCACTCTATGTATTTTATACAATTTTTATTCTATACAGTTTAGGAATCTATATTTTATGAAAATAGGAGCTGCAAACCCGTTTTCCAAACTGAGATCACTTTTCAAAATTAATAGAATATGTCATTTCCAAACTGAGATCATTTTTATTTCTTTTAATTATAAAAAGTGATCTCAATTAAGAAGCCGCGCAGATTTCATAGCTCGGTAGTAGAAGCTAATAAATAATTTTCGCTTAATTAACTTGAATTGAAATGTAGTTTCCGTTATCACGGAAGTGCAGTGCATCGAACGACGAACTGTCACAAAATCTGCGTCAGTATAAATATAATTTACATTGACACTGGCAATTAATGAAAGAAATTTTAATGAAAGCTTATTGAGCAATAGAAAGCAGGAGAAAAGTACAGAAAATCACGCATATGGAAATATGAATATTTCTAAATTCTTTTTCTATAAAAAATGACTGTAAATATATATACCTTAGGCTTTTCTTTTTGTCATAAAATATGCCAGAATTCAGAAATTTAACTAGGAATAATTTTTAATTTTGTTTTT